ATGAGGAACTGTATTAAAGGGTCGCGGCATTAGGAAGGTTGAGAACCACTGTTTTAGGGAGATGAAGGTGGCTGAAGGGTCAGGACCTGGACTGTGTGCCATGAATAATAAGGGCGATTTCACAATGAGAAAGGAAAAGGAGAGGCCTCTCCTGCAGAGAGACCACTACCACTATCGAACTACCTTCCTCAGCATTCGCTGTGTGCCAGGCACCACTCTAAGCACTTTATCCATACTCTTCCCCGGCCACTGCCCTCAAAATCTGTCCATCACATTCAACAAATGAAGAAAATGAGACACAAGGTTAGGTTACTTGCTCAAGTCCCACAGGTACCAAATGGTAGAGGTGGGATTCAAATTGAACGCTACCTCCAAACCCTGTGCTCCTGACCCCCTTTCACACGTCCCCCATAGCCTCAGAGGCGAAGAGGTGGTGGCACCTTCTCCTAGGACAACGGAGACGTCCTCCGATTGGAGGAGAGGTCTGTGTTGGGGGCAGCAGGAGATGAGTTTGAGGAAGGTTCCTGATTCCAGCTCCTCCCTGACTCGGAAGGATGACACTCCGGGCGGAAGGACGGTGCCCTTGGCCATGGGCAATGGGACTAAAATGGCTGCTTTGCTTCATTTCTCTGCGGCAGCAGGTGACAAGACAGAGCTTAGGACGCGCCTGACTCACTCACCTCTTCCAGAAAGGGTAGCAGGAAGTCTCGAGTGGCATTGTTTGAGGTGAAGAAGCCATGCACAGCCTTGTATAGAACATAGTGGTTGAGGCGGCGTGACGTGGAAGGCAGCATCCGCAGGGCCCTCATTACGTAGCGAGGCTCCTTGCCGGAAACTGCCTTCTCCAGCTGTTTCACATGCTCCTTGATGTCTGGGAAGGACCAGGGGAAAGATGTTACTTCCAGGTCTTTCTATCCCTCCCTACCCCCACCCCACTCCAGGCAAGCAGTTCTAGGGAGCCTCTTACAAAAGGGCAGATTATGGCCAATCACCTCTTTTGCCCTAATAGGGTTCAGCAATACTTATGGATGCCATACGGGGATTTTAAAACATCACCAAGTGCCAAAGAAAAATAAAGCTGGGGTGGGGGAAGGGGTAGAGAGAGGAAGAAAAAGCAATGATGAGAAACAAAACCAACCCATGGATATTTATCAGATCTCTAAATAAGAGAAGACTTTCTAAACGTAAACACTGGGAGAAATCACACACACACAAAACTGATGGATTAGATTTCAACAAAAGAAAAATATCTGCAACAAATGTGACCAAAGATGCTTATTCTTATTCTACAAAGACCTTGCATAAATGATTAAGGTAACTATGGGGCGAACAGGACATTTCTGCTGGTATAACGTAAACCAATACGTTATTCTGGAGAATGCCTCTCCAAAACCTTAAAAACATTTACCCTTTCGACTCAGGCATATTGATTCTAAACTGAAGAAGAAATTAGAAAGGCAGATTAAAAACTTGGGCAAAAGATGATTGCTGCATAGCTACTTATAAAAATAAGAAACTGGACACACTTCAATGTCCAATAAGGAAATGCAAGCAACTAGTAGTTTCATTACCTCTGTATACTTAGCACAGGGTGCTGGGCCACATTAATCATATGATATAAGATAACAGCTAATATTTACGGAGGGTTCACTAAGCATCTTCATCTTCACAACAACCCAATCAAGTAGATACTCTTACTCTCAGGTAAAGAAACTTAAGTTTTGAACTTGTATTCTTAGCCACTATATCAGGTAGTCAGTACATGTTTCTGGAATACGTACACTGAATGCTAATGCCTGTGGGTGTGTTAAATAAAGCACACCAGGTCACCTGTATTAAGTTATGCCTGCTCCAAACTATACATATAACTCGATCTCAATTATAGGAGAGCAGCTTAAAAACTCACAGGAAAAAATGTTAACCATGGTTGATCCCCCTCCTCCCCTCTGCTACACTTCAGACTTCTCATATTTTCCAAAATTTCTACAATGAACATGAATCTATACTAATTCAAGGGTAATATGCTAATTATACTGGGGGACCTTCTGGACATAGCCATGGTGGTGGGGCCCGAGGCAGAGGCGGTTAGGGGCGATCAGGGCAGGAGAGGAGGGCAGTTGGGGGTGAGCAGTTAGGGGTGATGGGGGGGGGCAGTTGGGGGCAAGCAGGCTGGCAGGCAGAGTGGATAGGGGCGATCTGGCAGGCAGGCAGGCAGGTGAGTGGTTAGGAGCCAGTGGTCCAGATTGCGAGAGGGATGTCCGACTGCCTTTTGTGGGATCCGGCCTAAACCGGCAGTCAGACATCCCCCGGGAGGTCCCAGATTGGAGAGGGTGCAGGCTGGGCTGAGGGACACCCCTGTTTCCTCCCCCCGCCCCCGCCACGAATTTCATGCACCGGGCCACTAGTTACTTTACAATAAGGAAGTGAAGTATTTGTAACAAACATGTACATACTCAGTAGGTAATGTCAAGGCAGCACCTTTGCTACTGGCTATCATTATTTCAGGTAAAAAGTTCATTATTAGATGCTAAGCCCATTAGAGTGGGAGCTGATGCAGTCAGCACCCTCTCCCCCTCCAAACACCAGCCAGAAGCATAACTGCGCTCACTTCCGTGTGTCTGAGCTAGTTTCTCATGCACTTTAGAGAGAAAACCCAAGACATCGTCCAGTCCCACTTGATCCGAAACTGGGGAAAGAGCAACAGGCTCGGAGGGAGAAGGTGAAATGTGAACGCGGAGGAACAAGAGGACGTGGAGGGGGTGGGGGCCAGCGTTCCGCGTCTTCCCGACCCCTTTACACACACAAATACAAACAATGGTTCTAGAGGGTCAGTCGTAGACCCCGGCGCGACAGGGTCGGGATGTAAACACGAGTTGGAGGGAGGACCGAGGAGTCCACACACCCAGGGAGACCCGTCCCAGGTGCAGTCCCGGGCGGGTGGAGGTGTGTGGCGAGGGAGGAGTCCTGACCCCGGAGTAGCTGGGGTTGGGAGTGTCGGGACAGTGGGGACGGGAAATCTGGGGGGGCCGCAGGGGGAGGGCCGATCCTTAGGAACCAGGGGTGGTGGAGGCTGCGCTGGGGTCCCAAGGAGAAGCTGATCCTGGCACGTCCCCGGCCCGGACTTTCGTACCCTCCAAGGTGATGGTGTCCAGCTCCCGCTGGGAGTGCTCTGCCGCCGTCGCCGTCTTCCCGTCAGCCTCCCCCGTTGACCCGCTACCCGCCGTCGCCTCCTCTTTCATCTCCACATCCTGGGGGGTCGGGGGTACCGGCGGTTCCTGTTCCCCTCCGCCCGGCGGCGGCTTCGCCTTGTCCGCGCCGCGGCGCCGCGCGGAGCCCTCCTGCTTCATGGCACACGGGGTCGCGGCCTAGTCCGGGGACTGAGGCCGGGGCCTCGCGTGAATCCCCGCAGCAGAGAGCAGGAACCAAGTCGGGCCTGCACACGAGCGCGGGATCGCTACGGGCCGCACGATGACGGAGCAGCAGCAAACCCTTTCCCAGCGCGGGGCCTGCTGGGAGACGCCAGGCCCACTGGGCCGAAGGCCGAGTCCACAAAGGGGAAAGAAATCAACAGCCGAGCGCAGGATGGGGGCGGATCTTCGAGGGCGCGGAGGGGTGGAGCCTGTTTGGGTTTGTGGCGCTTGCTTGGCAGTATTTAAATGTTGATTTTCTTGTCTTCCTCCGGAGTGCATTTCTGTGCTTGTCCACGAGAGGTCCCCACAGGCTCCAAACTGGGTTTCATCGGACTCGGCGCCTCAACGAGCGCGGAGTGCGGAGTGCGGAGGCCCCGCCGGAGCGCAGGGCGTGATGACGTCACGAGGAGCCGGGCGGGTTTCTGCCCAAACTCTGTTTGCCCGCTGCTGAGTCGCCTTCCCGACCCACGAGGCTCACGTTCAACGGCCGCCCAGTGCGTCCCGCGCGAGGGAAGAAAAGCTGCGAACGAGGGAGGTGGAGCTAGGCTGTTGGGCTTAAAATAAAACCGAACCATGGGATCCAGCCTTCCTTATCAGGTTTTTAGCCAACGCTGAAAATGAGGCAACCTGGGAGGGTGGGTGCGGGTAGAGCGACTTTGCGTACAGTCACTCCAGTGTAATGAAGTGTAGGGGTCCACTCTGTATGGCCCGGGGCTCGTGCATTGCGGGGCGGCGTGGTAACGCATAGCTGCAGATTGCAGTCTGCTGGAGGCTGTGCTCCGGCTGCCCTGTGTTGTGAAGGAAAGAGGCTGGAAGCCCCTCCTGGCAGAGGCTTCAGAGAGTCCTTTGGGGCGCCTGTAGGCATCCAGACAGTCACTGTAGTGAAATAGGGAGCAGAACAATGGTGTACGGGAGAGCCTGACACTCCCCCAGGGGAAGGGAATTGGATCAGAAGTTCTGTTCACTTATTTTACAAAGGAATCGTTCAGTGATTCTGCCGGAGGTGGATGCATGTTCTAATTTCCTAAGACAAAACAACAACTTCCTACCCTCTTGGAACTTTTATCTCCTCCATAAACGGAGGTCCTGAGTTTTAGACCAGGTCAGACCCACCAAGACAGTCTAGCTGTCTTGTAAGGTCCTAGAAGACAGAGAATATGTTTTCACTATCTTCTTTAAGTTTATGTATATAGGAAAAAATTATTAAAAAAAATTTTAAAGTATTGATTGATTTTAGAGAGAGAGAGGAAGGGAGAAAGAGAAACATCAGTTTGTTGTTCCACTTATTTATGCATTTACTAATGACCCGGAGCACAGATTTGTGCACATTGAAAGGAATTAATTAGAAGGTGGCTGGCCGGGCAGGACTGGGCGAGAGGGGCCAGACACACCCTGGAGCCAACTGCTGGGATCCCTCCCCAGTGTCTGCAGAGTGAGCGGGGGTCCCTCCAGCAGGTAGGGTCCCTTGGCCTGGCCTGCGGGGATTGGGCTGAAACCAGTCCCCGAGGGGTCCCAGAGTGCGAGAGGGCACTCTACAAAGTTGCTGTCGTACAGGGTGTGGAATGCAAACCCAAGAGTGCAGCAAACCGGATCGGGCCGACAGTGCCCCAGCAACAACATAGCCCACGGCTGAAGGTGGAATCTCACGGCCTGCGAGAAATTGGGTTCCCTCCTCTCTGGTTTCGGGGTGCGTCACCCAAGAACCTCCGCTGCCAAGTCACTGCAGCTCAGCAGCTCCTGCGTTGAGCATCTGCCCCCCTGGTGGTCAGTGTGTGTCATAGTGACCAGTCGGACGGTGGGAGGGACACTTAGCATGTTAGCCTTTTATATATATAGAAGATTGGTTGATGCTTGTATGTGCCCTGACCAAGGATCAAACCTGCAACCTTGGTGTATCCAGACAATGCTTTAACCAACTGAGCTACCTGACCAGGGCTTTACCACACCCTTTTCATACTTTTGTACCAAGTATTGTACCAAGTAGCTCATGCACTAAACAGCCACTTGCTAAACGGAAAAATGTGTGCTCCAGTTTTAGGGAACATGCCTTGACCAATTCCTCCCTAACTATCCCCCTTCCCCGTAGGGCTCGGGAATGGATAACAGGACTTTTGAGTCATCACTGGAATAAACTCATTAAAGCCTCTTCATAACGCCGTATCTGTAACTGGAGGTGGGCGAGAATGGCAAAGGAAAAAAACAGGTGAGCTTTGTTGTGCATCTTTACGAAGTTACCCTTCTGGATAGTTAGGGTGTTAGCTCACCTCTTTATTATGTTTACATCATAAGATTAGAACAATCAAGTCAGCAGATAACTACTCAGTACGTTCTTGAGCAATAGAGTGAGGCCTTAGAAGATGCCCCAGAATCGGGGAGGATGGCTTAACACAAAGTCTTTGGCAGTTGGTCATGAATTCTTGGTGAGTGAGGGAATTAATCAAGGCAAGGGGTGCCTAGGAAGAGGAAGAGTTTGGCCCCTGGGGCCAAACACCTTGGAGAAATTATTCCACCCATAAACCATTTTAAAAGGGATTGGTGAAAGATATTAAAACCAAGTTTCAGGCAGAGGAGGAAGGTATAAATCTGGCAGTTTTATGAGATTGTAATATCCATGTTAGCAAGTCCATATACAAGTCCACCCATATCACCTCCTCCCACAACCACCCTGAACTGAGAGCAAAAGAGGAAAAGGTGAAATCAGAAAATAATAGCACAATTTCTTTTAAAAACGTTTTTGGTCAATATATATATTGATTTCAGAAAGGAAGAGAGAGGGAGAGAAAGAGAGAAACATCAATGATGAGAGGGAATTATTGATCACCTGCCTCCTGTATGCTCCCCACTGGAGATCAAGCCCGCAACCTGGGCATGTGCCTTGACCAGGAATCAAACCTCAACCTTCTGGTTCAAAGGTCAATGCTCAACCATTGAGCCACACTGACTAGGCAGGTATCTTTTTTTTAAACACCTATTTGCATTTTAAAGTTATTCATTTATTTATTTATTTTTAGAGAGAGGGAGAGAGAGAGAAACATCCATTTGTTGTTCATTCATTCATTGATTCTTGTATGTGCCCTGCCTAGGGATTGAATCCACAACCTTGGCATATTGGGGCAGTGCTCTAACGAACTGAGCTACCTGGCCAGGATCTCTCTGCATTTTTATCCAATAAGCTTGAAAGTTGTCTTAGTCTTGTTTTGGGTTTGTAAAATGTATCTCTAGGTTTTTGCCTTTCCCAGTCCCTTAACCCAAGTCCAGAGGGCTCCAGAGGCTCCTCTATGAAGACACGCTGCTTTGATGGTATTCTCACTTTAGAATCTAGATTCCACATTCTTACCCTCATAGTTCTTCCCTGAGTACTTCCCAGCTGGCCTGAGGACAGTGTAATAGTATTCATGTACATATGATCTATATGTAGTGTGATAATGTCTGTTTTCTTTTCTGACACAAGTTAAGAATTTCCTTATGATGGATTCTTTAAAGAAAACACCAAAGACATTTCATCCAAAGTGAAATATTTTCCATTAATTCCAGTGAAGCTTGATTTTTAAAAGCACAAAATTGAGGGATTGGGATAGGAAATTAATTAATTTTGGTTTTGCTGAAATGGTTTATAATTCTTAAAATTGTGTTCTACTCTCAGAGGACTTAAGCATCAGCGGATGGGCTCAGCAGGTAGCAGCACTACAGGGGCAGGAGGAGATAGAGTTGGTCAAGTGGAACTTGGTTATCGTGGAGGATCAGCTAGGGTTTCCATCATCCTCAGCCTGGTGGCTATGACATGTCCTTGGATGTTAAGGACATAGCACAGTGGGGCGGGGGAGGCATTAGGGAAGCAGGAAGCAGATGGAAAAGGCAAGTTAGGAGGCCTTGGTCAGCAGCTGCAGGAAGGAGAGGCCAGCGTAAAGGGCACAGAGGTGGGGGAGGGTGTCTGGGTCCCATGTGTACTGGGGGCCCGATCTCTGCACTTCCAGGCCGCTCAGCCCCACGAGGGCCTCTGTGAGGATCAGTTCTTCTTCCCCAAGGGAGGAGAGCAGGCTAGATGGCAGGGGAAAAACACCCTCTTTGTCCTGCAGGAAATTCTGTTCCATTGTGCTCTCCACCTGGAAGGAACCAAAACAGCATGAAAAGAAAGAACTGGAAACCTCCTTTCCTTTCTGCTAACTCATAAAATCCACAAAGATGCCTACCTTTCTCTTATTATAACTCTTTTCACTACATTACATTACAACTCCACCTGGGCCTTTTTTAAAAACTTGATTTTAGAGAGAGGCAGGGAGAGAGAGAAACATCGATTGAAGTGCCCTGACCTCAATGTGCCCTGATCGGGGATCAAACCCGCCACCTTTTGGTGTATGGGACGATGCTCCACCCAACTGAGCCACCCTGGCCAGGGCCCATCTCGAGCTTTTAACAACCCTGTACAGAGGGCAGCTCATTTATTTTTAGCCCCATTTTACTCAGAGACATTAAAAGATGTGTTCACATCACTTGGCTAGGACTAAGCAAAAACAGAGTGTTCTGTCTCTCCTCCCACGATCAGGCTGAAACACCCAGATAATCGCCCAGACATCTACTCTTCCATCTCACTTGTGAGATAGCAAAAAGGAAGAAACGGAGAGAAATGAGAAGGGGCATGAGGTGCTGGGAGAAGACTCTAGGATGGTTCTGTCATGAGGCTGCATTTGTGCCTTTCCCCTGGTTCTGGCTGACTCCCTCCCGCCTCTCCCTGGTGTCTGCTGCTTCTCACAAGTTTCAGTTGCACAGGCAGGATCTTCTTCTCCATGGATTTCACCAGCAGCTTCTGTTGGGCTTCACTTAACTCTGCAGAAAAGGGCAGAGGAAGAGATGTGTGTTGGTGGTGCAGAGGGAGTACAGCTCCACGTGGGTGCCCTGCCAGACTTTCAGCGTCCATTCATTCATCCCCACCCACAGTTGAACGCCTGCTCTGGGCCAGGCACCTTTGCTGAGTATGTTCGGTAAAAATGTACTCCCTTCACTCAAGGAACTTGCAGTCTAGTGGAGAAAACCAACGGATGCGCAAATACAGCACACAGTGTGAGGGGAGCCATAGCTGAGGGGTCTGCTTTGGTCTTGGCATTTGATGGCAGACTTCTTAAGAGAACAAAATCTCAGCTTATACCTGAAGGACCAGAGAATTCTTTTAAGTGGGGGAATGTTTCCTGCAGAGCGAAGACGAGAATTCAGGGGGCAAGATCAGAGGATGTTACCCTCTGAAATGAAAGCTAATGAATATCGATAACATGTGATGGGATTAGCTATATGTTATGCCAGCCCCTGTTAGCAAGACCAGGCCATCTTCTCAGACTCTCTAAGGTGACCAAGTGAATCCTTAGTCATGAGACCAATTTTTAAAAATGTAGATATAAGCTACTTCATTGTGCTGTAATTTGCCTGGCATTCATTCATTCACTATTCATTCATTCAAACATTTGGGAATTAGTGATTCATTCCTATCACCAGAAGGGTGTATAAATGAAGGCCTTATTCCTTCCTTACCTGTTAGGGCTCCAAGGAAGTAGAGGATGGCGCCCATAACCTCCTTGGATATGAGGACATCTTTTGGGAGTGCCTCCAGCGTCACTTCATGTCCTTTGTCTAGAGCGCCTTCAAGCTGTGAGGAAAGGTGGGTGAGCAAGATAACACGAGAAAGGGACCCAGCATGGTGTCTGGCACATAATCCCTGGACACGTGTCAACTTTGTCCGATTTCCAGATTTCTTTTTCAAGGTATCAAGTCCTGAAAATATCGGACTGACTTGGGTTCCTTGGTTCCTGAGCCTTACATCCTGGAAAGGAAAGTTCCGGCCCCTGCTGGCCTGCTGCCTCCCCTGTCCATCAGGAAGGAGCATGTGCCTTGGAGGAAACTGCACTGTTTGTCCTTCTCCAGAGGCACCAGGGCAGCCGGGGGCACCTGGCCAGCTTGGGGAAGGCATCTGCTGTCACATCCCGTGGCCCCTGTTCATCTTCTGCCAGTGTCAGGCCCCCTTCCCCCCAGCTGCACCTGCACCAAAAACCCTTCTCCCAACCCCCCTCCCCACACACTTCCACGGGGACCTCACCGTGAGCTCCAGGTCTTGGAGCTCCTTTTTCTTTCCTAGCAGTTTGCTGAGGGCCGCGAGCAAGGAGCTTTGTCCCACGTGACTCAGCTTCTCCACTTCTTGGGTCTCTCGTTGAATCTCTTCTTTTAGTGTCTTGAAGTCTTCATGCATCTCCCCTGTGGGGACAGTAAACGTGGCAAACAGGCGGTTCTCCACCTGGCACCCTCCCCACTCAGCCGGTGTTCTCCCTGCAGGCTCCTTCACACCCCTCGCAGGTCCCCGTGCTCTGCTCCCAGCCTTAGCCTGGCCTCTTGTTTTTCTTGACCAAGGAATGCAATTATGAAGTTATCCATTAGCCTGACTTGACA